ACAGCCGGACGGACATACCAAAATTTGATGTTTATGAGGCAAATGAGCTCATAAACACCACCTGGACCAACGTCCATAAGCAAAATAAGCTCATAAAAACAAAAAAATAGCTCTTAATTTGAATTTTATGAGTTTATGTTCTTTATTTAACTACGGAATGAAGCTCATAATAATCAAATGTTGGCTCGGCCGGACGGACGGACAAGCTGATTCCAGTATACCCCCCTTCCAACTTTGTTGTGCGGGGGTATAATAAAAATTGTTAAAACATACTTTTAAAAGGTGATGTTCTTACTTTATTCTTTCACTTAAAATGAGTCCAGATAATTAAACTAAATGAAAAGAAATCTAACTTTTACAGCATTTATTATGTGAATGTACATAAATGAAGATTTATTTATATATCTATAGCAAGGCCTATTTATAGATTTCAGAACTATGAGTGTTATAATTATATTATTATATACAAAAAATAGAAGTTATTCAGCTGTATAATTACAATATTCTTCTAAAATAACATTATAACATTATGGTTGTCAAAGATTTTATATCATTTTATAGCTATCTACTTTTGCTCTTCATTTCTGCAGTCATGTAATATTAACATATTGGGTTTCCAGTTTGATTTTTTAAATTTAGCGCTTTCGCATCTATTTTTAGATTTAAATGATCAGTTGACACTTGCTAAAATACCAATTACAACAAGAGCCATGTCAACATGGCCATCCCCCGCCGAATGTGTTTGCTCATTGGAAGTATATATATGTAGTAGAGCGGAATAATTCCATTTTAAGAGGTCTTTTGGTAATGAAACCTGATGGCTATAGTGATTACAGATTTGAAACCTATGTGAATACTGATGGCTGAAAATAACAAAGGGCAATTACTGAAAAATAACGCAGGGTAGGTTATCATTCTTGTGTGCTGCATCCCTCCTCAGTAAAAATCTATCCACCTATGAAGTTTCAAGTTGATACCTCAAATACTTTTTGAGAAAAAAATTGAATTGAAAAATTAAGTATGAAAAAGAACAAAGGGCAATAACTCAAAAATTATAAAAGGTAGAGTTATCATTCTTGTGCAGTGCACACCTCCTGAGTGAGATCTATGCACCTATGAAGTTTCATTTTGATATCTCAAAGGCTTTTTGAGTTATGCTCTGGACAAAAATTAATTTTGGGCAATAACTCAAAAATAATGCAGGGTAGAGTTATCATTCTTAAGCACTGCACTCCTCCTCAATGAGATCCATCCACCTTTGAAGTTTCAAGTTGATACCTCAAATACTTTTTGAGATAAGCTCTGGACAAAATAGCATAAAAAAAAACAAAGGGCAATAACTCAAAAATTGTATAGGGAAGAGTTATCATTCTTGCGCACAACATTCCTCCTCAATAAGATCTATCCACCTGTGACATTTCATGTTGATATCTCAAACACTTTTTGAGTTATGCTCCCCTCAGGTGAAAAATTAGGTATGAAAAATAACAAAGGGCAATAAACTCAAAAATTATGAAAGGTAGAGTTATCGTTCTTGTGCACTGCACACCTCCTGAGTGAGGATCTATGCACCTATGAAGTTTCATGTTAATATCTCATAGCTTTTGGAGTTATGCTCTGGACAAAAATCACTTTTGAAAAATAACAAAGGGCAATAACTCAAAAATCATGCAAGGTAGAGTTATCATTCTTGTGCACTGCACTCCTCCTCAATGAGGTCTATCCACCTATGAAGTTTCAAGTTGATAACTCAAATACTTTTAGAGATATGCTCCGGACAAAAATGTTGGACGGAAGGACGGACGGAAGGACGGAAGGTCGGACGGACGGAGACTATTTCTATATCCTCCGCCGAAAATTTTCAGCGGGGGATAATAAAAAATGTTGCTTGATCAACTAGAACTGCCACTGTCATGGCCTGAATACCCCCGCATACCACTTTGTCAGAATCAAAAGTGGCCATTTAGAGCTCAAGGACAACCTCCCTGCCAAATCTGAGTTACTAAGCCAGTGCATTGCTAAGTTATGTATTCTACATGCTTCAAATGTGAAAATGTCGAAATCAATACACTGCAGACAGGCATTCTTAAGCATTTGAGTAGATAAGCTTATTATAGCAAAAAATTCCTGTGACTTAACCTTTGACACAGTCACCTAAAATCAATAGAGGTCATCTACTAGTCATAAACAATCTCAATACCAAATATGAAGACTGTTGACCGAAGCATTCTTAAGCAATTGAGTGGAAAAGCTTTTTTTAGTCATGGCCCCTGTGAACTTCACCTTTGACCCAGTGACCTCAAAATCAATAGGGTCACCCAATGGTCAGGATCAACCTCCATGCCAAAAATGGAGACTGTGGGTCAAAGGAATCTTAAGTACTTGGGCAAACAAGCCTTTTGAGTCAATGTCCCTGTGACCTTGACCTTTGACCCAGTGACCTCAAAATCTATAGGGATCATCCACTGATAATGACTAACCTCCATACAAAATATGAAGACTGTGGGTCAAAGGAATCTTAAGTTATTGGGCGGACAAGCTTTTTTAGTCAAGGCCCCTACTGTGGGTCAAAGGAATCTTAAGTTCTTGGGCGGACAAGCTTTTTTAGTCAAGGCCCCTGTGACCTTGACCTTTGACCAAGTGACCTCAAAATCGATAGGGGTCATCTAAGTACTAATCATGACTAACCTCCATGCCAAATATGAAGACTGTGAGTCATACGAATCTTAAGTAATTGGGCTAACAAGGTTAATTTTTAGTCAAGGCCCTTGTGGCCGTGACCTTTGACCAGGTGACCTCAAAATCAATATGGATCATCTACTAATCATGACTAACATGCATGCCAAATATGAAGATTGTGGATCAAAGGAATCTTAAGTTATTGGGCAGACAAGAAACAAGAGGGCCATGATGGCCCTGAGGTCGCTCACCTGTATATAGGCCCCTGGAGCGGGGCCAGTTTAAACCCCAGGGCTTTTATTTGAACAAACTTGAAAGACACCCATTAGAAGATGTTTCATGATGTTAAGATTTTACGACACACATATAATGAAAAACAATGATCTTCCTCTTGCTTCTTCCCCTCCCGGCAGGGCCAATTTTAACCAAGGGCTTTTATTTGAACAAACTTGGTAGACACCTATAAAAAGATGTTTCATTCTAAACATCTAAGCTCTAGCTCATTGGGTTTTTTAAAAGAAGATTTTTTAAGTTTTTACTATACACATATAGTTAAAAAACAATGACACCCCTGGGGCGGGCCAATTTTGACCCGAGGGCTATTATTTGAACAAACTTTGTAGACACTCACTAGAACATGTTTCATGCTTAATATCTAAACTCTAGCTATTTGAGTTTATTTAAAGAAGATTTTTTAAGTTTTTGCTATACACAAAAAAGGAAACTCAATGACCCCTGGGGCGGGGCCAATTTTGACCCTAGGGCTTCTATTTGAACAAACTTGGTAGGCACCCATTAACACATGTTCATGCTAAATATCTTAGCTCTAGCTCTTTGGGTTCTTTAAAAGAAGATTTTTTCAAGTTTTTACTACATGCATATAGGGAAAATCAATGACCCCCTTGGGCGGGCCAATTTTGACCCCAGGGCTTTTATTTGAACAAACTTGGTAGACACTCATTTGAAGATGTTTCATGCTAAATATCTAAGCTCTAGCTCTGTGGGTTCTTTAAAAGAAGATTTTTTAAGTTTTTATTATATGCATATAGGGAAAATCAATGACCCCCTGGGGTGGGGCCAATTTTGACCCCAGGGCTTTTATTTGAACAAACTTGGTAGACACTCATTAGAAGATGTTTCATGCCAAATATCTAAGCTTTAGCTCTTAGGGTTTTTTAAAAGAAGATATTTAAAGTTTTTTCATTTGGTTGCCATGGCAACCAGAGTTCTGCATGGAATTAAATTCTTTGAACAATATTTAAAGGTGACCACCAAAGGAACATTCCTGTGACGTTTGGATGAAATTGGCTTAGTGGTTTATGAGGAGATGTCATTTAAAGTAAAAGTTTACGGACGGACGCCGGACGGACGACAGACAGACAACGACGAAAAGCGATCACAAAAGCTCACCCTTTGTGACAGCTGAGCTAAAAATCTAAGATTTAACAAATTTATCTAAGCTCTACTATAAAGTACACATCACTTTAAAATCTGAAACAGTTTAAAATTGGCTTCAAGGGATTAACCGGTACTGGTGTTATATGAAAAATCATTGTCCTGACACGCAACTTAAACACTTTAAAATTAGTTTACAGGCACTAACCAGTACTGGTGTTTATGACTGAAAAATCATTGTTGTGACCTGAGTATGGCTTGAACCTACTGTCCCTAGGTTGAGCACCAGACACCTTAACCATAAGGCCAACATTTCAATAAAAGAACACAATATCCTGAAATTGTCTATTTTAACCCACACCAGTGCAGACAAAATGATACGAAGTGCTTCTAACTAGTCAGCTTAAGATCACTGTCTGTGACCAAGAATTTCTGATTTGAGCTGTGTCACGACAAAACTAACATAGTGCGTTTGCGAACAGCATGGATCCAGACCATCCTGCGCATCCACGCAGACTGATCTGAATCCATGCTGTTCGCTTACCAACCCTGTTACAAGAACAAAAACTGATAGCGAACAGCATGGATCCTGATCAGACTGCGCGGATGCGCAGACTGGTCTGGATCCATGCTGGTCGCAAACGCATTATGTTGGTTTTGTCGTGACGCGGCTCATTTCTTTCATGTGAGAAAACTATACATCAATCTTATGAAAGGATGTTGAGTCCACACAGGTACCCACTTGTGCCTGTAGTAATGCTTAAATAGGAACCCAATGTCCTCCTTTACAAATCAAGTTGTCATATGACCGTCACTGTGTGGGTGTGACTTGCAACCAAACCACAATACAGTTTTTTTTATAACTATTAAGAGGTTCCACACCACTAAATATTGTTAGTACATGAAATACATTATTTAAGACATACCTCCTTTTTCCATTAGAAGAGGGTGGCCAAACTTTTTAGCCGTATCAAGAGGTGTGTCACCTTTAATATTCTGTATATCAATCTCTCCGTCATGTTGCAGGAAACAATTTAAACAGTTAGGGAACCCTCCCTCGCTGGCATAATGACCTGGAGTGTTCCCAAAATCTGAAAATAAAATTTTAAAATCTCACATTTACCATTATACATATTGTTAATCACTATTTGCTTGATATTTTTTTCATAAAGAATAAAAAGTTCCCTTGAAACAAAATTGTGTATCAAATTTATGTATGTGAATGAAGATAGTTGAGCCTATATTGAAAGCATTTTCTTCCATCTCCTTGATACCCAAAAATAACAAAAATCATGCCTTACTTTCATTCCTTCTAAATTACAATATTAGGACACATTGCCCTCAAATTAACTTTGATTGCAAAGCAAAACTTATCCTGAGGTGAAAGTACCCTGAAACCAATAAGAAAGTCAGTTTCATGTTTGTAAAGCACATTGCCTACATTTTACAATCAACATTGTATCATATGTTATATGTGTTATGTATAAAGAAAACTATTCTACCAAGTTTCTAGATTTACACTAGTCCTGGTACAGTCAGGGTGCCAGTCCATGCCATTTCACCAGCCTGAAATCTACCCCCTGCATTGTTCTGCTGCTTTTTAATAAGCTTCAAATTACTGTTGTTCATGTGGACTATTCCAAGGAAGAGAAATGGTTGCGGGTGCTAATTATTTATTTTATTTATAGAAGATAAAGTGTTATAACCACATTACTTACAGTCTTGACTGTTCGGATCAGCACCTTTATCAAGCAACCAATGTAAGACATCTATTGCACCATTAAGCGCTGCCTGGAAAATAGGACATACTACAAAATTACCAATAAATAATACAACTCAGACAGTTTTAATATGTGTCTTGGGTTATGATACTATTCAAGAGCTGTCCGTAAGACACTTTTCTCAGTGCTTGACAGTAAAAAAAGGGGCATAACTCTGTAAAAAAGTTAACTCATAGTTAAGGGACCTGTGCCCATCCTGTTTTTCTGTGCAATATCATTTGTATTTGGAATAATCCATTTTACTCCATTACTACATTTTTTTAAAAACCTACCACATGAGCTGGGGTTTTGCCGTCTGCCTGAGTGGCCTCTAGTGATGTCCCTTGTTTAACTAAAAATCTACAACAGTCTACTTTATTGTTCTTGGCACAGTGGTGTAAGGCAAGGTAGCCATTATTGTCTCCAAGGGTAATGTCACAATCTCGTTGAACAAGTAAAATAAGACACTGCAACGCTGAAAAAAATATTGGAAATTTTAATATATTGATAATTGCTACACAATCTCTTTGTATTTTAAATATAAAATAAACATGTTTTGACTTCACATAGAGGTACATCTGCCTCAGAAATCCATATTGCTCTTTGATTGGCTCATTTTTTCTTTGGTTTACTTATTGTGACGTCAGAGAAAGGGATAACAATAGAAAAGTCATATTCAGGTGCTCATACATTGGTTACTTTTTTCTTGGGTTTCATATTGTGATGACAGGGAAAGTGTTTTTATTTTTGCTGATGATAAAAAAGAAAAAGGAAATCAAAACACCCACAATCTGATTTATACTCAGGGAAGCTACTTAGAAAGCCTTGTATTTTGATGTTCTTTCTATAACATATAACAATGAGTTGATTATGGATTTCAAGCAATTGTCATAATTGGTAGATACCCGTACAATATAATTTTTGTATTAACAATTCATGCTATTATAGACATTATTTAACAAATGCAGAAAACATGTATCTACTTAATATATTACAATAATCAAATTATCACCTGGGTTAATAAATTGTGCATTATGTATCTTTTAGCACTTGTCATTAATTATTAATAGAAACAATCATGTCACACCTAAATCAACCTACCAGAACACAAAATAGTTGCAACCTGTAGCTAAAACATTTACAGGACTTAGGATGCAAAATATATGCAGGTTTATTTAGTGATATTAATTTTTTACATTGGACAATGAATATATTCATTTTAAGTTTCCCAAACCGTGTCAGGATCTTTAAATGTAAGTATGCATTTTTTTATCTGTTAAATTTCTTACAATACAAAAATGATGATCCAGTTTAGAGATGATTATAATTTGATAAACTAAACATTTTTCAACCAGCAGATAAATTCAACTATACCTTGGTTAATTTGTTTTATAATGGCCCTTAATACCTGATGATGCTTTATTTGTGTAATGGACCTGTCTTGCTTTGAACTTGGAACAGTCCATTGTATATCTGAGAGTTAAATGTTATGTTTTTATGTTAATTTGTTTGGTAATATCTCAGATGTAACCAGCTTTCTTGGATACTTTTTTTCTAACCCATAATAACCATTTCAAATGAGTCTCCACAAGTGACAGAGTAAATCTTATCTAACATGATTTCTAAATCTGAGCAGTAAGTGAGTAAACTTAAAGCTGCACAAGATAAAATTAAGATTAAATTTATAATTGCCAAAAAGCAACAGATAAACCAGACAGTTTCAGGTAATTTGCCAAATTGGTAACTTTTTCGGAAACTAATAGCATAAAAGTTCACTAAAATAAAAAGTTTTTGAGAAATAAAAGCATTTCTGAGTCATAATAGGCCTTTAATAAGGTAATTTATGTACATTGTAGTTGTAGTACAAATGATTTTATCAATATTTTGCACAATCACCACAATGGTATTAAGGACTTTTGCAGAATATTGATTCTGACTGGCAATATGGGGAATAAATCTCAGGAAAGAGACATGAATTCTATATCTAGATCATCTTTTTTCTGTTTAAGAATATAGCAAAATTTTCTTTTGCAGATGTTCTTTTAGTAGCCTCGATACTGTTTCTGGTAATTTTACTAGAGTTGGATGATAAAGATAGGGCATTACAGAGGACTAAAGTTCAAACACTTCATAATCTACCATCATTCAAACCACCAGAAGTGTATTACTCGCCAGTCAACGTTCTTTGTGTTTCGTTTCAAGGTCGCCTTGGCAACCTAATGTTTCAATATGCATCTGGTTTTGGAATAGCGAGACAAAAAAATATGACACTACGCATCAGTAAACATGATCAAATAGCAAAAGTTTTTAACACATCTGCACAGAAAGTTCATTGTAAAGAATACTGTCAAAATGCATTTAAAAAGTTTGAAAGTATTCACTGTGCATATGATCCTCAACTGTTAAATTTCACGCAAATATTTGTAAAACTGCATACGTATCTTCAATCATGGAAGTATTTTAAATCCGTCACAAACAGTCTTAGACAAGAACTGAAATTTAATGACCATATAAGGGCCACTGCAGAAAAGATTTTTCACATTGCAACGAAAAAGGCAAAATTCTACGGACAAAATTCAACATACGTTGGTGTGCATATAAGGAGAGGCGATATGTTTTATGGACAGATTAAAAATGAAAGTCGAATATCTGATTATAATATTGCTCCCATTACCTACATAGAGAATGCGATGGCATATTTCAAGAAGCGTTTTCCGAGAGTTACATTTGTAATTTGCTCAGACGATATAAGATGGGTGCTATGGCGTTTTGGAAGGTATCAAAAACTGTTAAATTTAGTATTTGTTCATAAGAAACCAGAGGTGGATCTTGCTGTTTTGAGCATGTGCAATCATACCATTATGACCACCGGAACATTCGGCTGGTGGGCGAGCTGGCTGGCAGGGGGGACAACTGTTTACTACAAAAACTATGTGAAGGAAGACAGTGTTCTTCGTCAGCAGTTCAGTTCCGACTTTTCAGATTTTTTTTATCCTGGATGGATTCCCATGGAATAGTGATAAAAATTTCTTGCCTTTACCAATTCTCGAAGAAATTATTATACCTACAGAAACATCATTTACATGCTCTTTGTTGACATTTGTCTGTTTTGTTCATCAAATTAAAAAGACACTTTTTGTCAAAACTCTCATTGGATATGACCAATACTATGAAAGCAACATGGTATCAATAGTTTTTTATTGTTTTTGCTAGTTTAAAGTTTTTATACCCTTTAATGGGTTATTAAAATCAAAGATTTAACATGTTGCCAACAGGGGATTTTTATTTAAAAGATAACATTATAAAGTCATGTCTGTAATCAGTATGCAAGACTTAAACCCTTGACCTTAAGTACCTGCCAAAATTCTTTCAGTTTCTATTTTAGGAACTATCCATTATGAAATTTGGGGATATCAAGACTGAAAATTTTTGAAGTTGGTTAGCCAATAGTTAATAGAGCCCTTGGTCAGAATGCCTCGAGTTGTGCAGGCCAACCAGTGCTTCCACACTGGTGGCAAAGGCTAATTGGGTAACAATTTGGTTCCAGTATAGTATTGGTAAAGTGACTGTACAACATTCAATTTAAATTTCAAATTCATGACACATTTATAAACAGATACGCAACTACTATCTGATTTATAAAATGAATTCGTGACTTAATTTATAAAACAGTAGATTTATCAGTAAAATATTCATGATTTTTATTTTCCATTTGATTTACTATATCTAAACATTGTCATTATCAGTCCCTAAAGCAAATTATTTCAATGCTCTCACTCACGTTTTCGTGACACAACAAGCGTAATCTAAAATTTTAAACATTTGCATAATTTAGATTATGAAGATGAAAAAAATAACTGATTTCTAGTTGTTTTTTTAAATGCACACAATTGTAGCCGAAAATGAACTTTGTTTTCTACATCACTGTTTTTAACTGCAAAAAGCAATTTCATATGAACTCATTTGCAAAGGCCTATAAGTTATAAAATATCTCAACTCAATTTACACTGCAAAATTATAATAATAAGTAAGTTTTACTATGATATTCATATTTAGTATTTTAAGAAAGTTCGGAATATTAATACATGTACATGTATTTAAATTTAACCAGCTTACAGTACAGGGTCTGGCCTCAAATTTTTAGTCTAGTCTCAAATCTCAGGATTTTTATTGGTCAGTTAACAATATGTGCTGGTTTATGATCAGTCAAGAATACAAGATCCGTTGGAGATTGAGCCTAGAAAATTCTCTATCACCTAGACAACCCAGCTTAATAGGACAGAAGAGTTGTTATGGCTGGCCTGGCTTTATATTTGTGATGTAAATCTTGAGCTACTGACAGACAAGAGCCTGGTCAGACAGAATGGACATGCAGGCCACCCTGGCTGTAATAATTAATGGTGGCAAAAGCTAATCGATCATAATTTTCCAGCACTGGCTCTATAGTGGTAGCAAAATCTAATCACTTTCATTTCCAGCAGTCAAAGGGTTCATGTCCCTCTACTTGAAATGTAAACTTGTTTAAGACTTTAAATTACTGAAAGTATACTGACCTCCGTATTGAGCAGCATAGTGCACAGGTGTCTTCCCATTCTCACATCTACAATCAAGGTCAACTCCAAGGTCAAACAGAAACTGTAACACCTTCTTATGATTCCTCATAGCGGCTAAATGAGCACATTGTCTCCCTTTATAGTCTTCATCTACTAAATTGGCACCTGTATTAAATAAAGCAATATAACTTTAACCATTTAAACCTGCTCAATTTCTTACATGGACTTCTGTTTCACCTTTCATTTTTAAGAATTGTTTATTGAAACATAAGCCGTGTTTTCATTCATGACTAAATGGCTACTTCTAAGCACAAGTTTTCCTATTTTATGCCAATGGGCTTGTGATTCATAATTATAAATTTTAGGAATAACAAGATGAAAATTTGAAGTTCAGGTAAGCCAACAGTATAGAGCCTGATCAGTCTACAAGGATGTACAAGCTGGCCTGGCTCAATACTGGAGGCAAGGCTAATCACTTTTGGTTCCAGCATGGTATGGGTTTGCCAAGAGCATTTCAGGTGTAACAACATAGTTTAACCATACCTTTTTAAGCATAATTGTAAAAGAAATTCTTATTCTTCATATATATACATTTTAAATCATTTTTTACTTTTCTGCCTGACACTAACCAGTACTGATGCGATATGAGAAAATATGGCTGTTACCCAAAAAATGCTCAATTTTACCATATAATGATCTTCAAGGTTCAGAGGCAAACACCTTATCTACTAGGCCATTGCATCCCTCTTTTAAATTGGTACAATGACTTCTCAAATCCACATGTATTAATCAATATTATCAAAATTACTATATGTGGTTAAGTTAGCGAAGTGGAAATCGTAGGGAATTTAGCAAATTCATGAAAATTGCAAAAATTTAGTTTAGGATAAATATCAACCAGTCTGTCATTAAATTCTACCAGACTTGCATGATTCACTAATATTTCCTCAAGCAAAATGTCTGGAATTTTAAATTCACTAACTTTTCGACATGCAGAAATATCGACTTATACACTCACTGTATACACATATACTTAAAAATTGTGACTCATCATTTTGTTTTTTTCATAGTTATGAGTATTTTAGGCTACTTATGACATAAATACATGTACATGTATGACTGACTGTCGACTTTATGTATTGTTTCAATGGATGTGCTTTTTTCAAAACACAATTTAAAGTGACTCCACTGAGGTTTTTTGACATGATGGGACTGGAAATATTTTTTTCCAGATAAATGAACCATTTGATGTAGGTTTAGACACTAATCTTTGTGCAAAATTTCAGATCATTCGCACACTTCGTTTTTTCCAGAATAATTATTCAAATTGCAAAAAAGTGACCCAAATCAAAAGTGTTTACACGCTTTTTATTCAAATTGGGCTAAGTAAAGCATAAAAATACCATTTTCATTTTATTTCAAAGTATATTTCTTAACTATCTTTGCATATATTTCTGTTTAAAGTCCCCCAGCTCATTTATGTAAGAAATTCAAATGTTATGTTTTTAGGGTTTTAAACCTCAGCGGAGTCCCTTTAAAAGATAAGATAAAAAAACAACTTAAAGCAACATCTGTCACAAAAAAATCTTTTGATGTTCCGCATGTTCTGTCATATGATCAATAAAATGATCTAACCTGACATTTATTTCCTGTATCGAATACCATATTAATTACAAGATAAATTTAAAACGTTGCAAAGTTCATTGAGTTTAAAACTGCATAAAATCTCAAGAAAAACCTTTAAAAAAACTGTAACAATGGCTAAATTTACTAGTTTTGTGTTCATGCAAACTTTGACAGAGTTAACTAACTTTCATATTATCATTTTTCCATAATTATGCCACTGTACTTCATATTTTAATACCACCGACTCACTACAGGACTTCAAAATTTGATAAATTTAGATACAGTCTAAAATGCACCAATGATCATTTCTAAAAAAATGCCAACAAGTAAATTGAACTTGTCACTGTCACAATCATTTTAATGTCAGTTGTTGTTTTTTTTTAAACTGGTCTTTACTGACAGGCCTGAATCTAAACATTTGCCTGATTGGTCTTTATTGACAGACCTAAACTTAATAATTTGCCTTATCAATTTGCCAGATTGGTCTTATTGACTGGCTTGAAGCTTTCAATTTGCCAGATTGCATGGCCTTAAATTGCCAAAATTAATCTATACATGTATTGACAGGCTTGAAATTATTAATTTGTTGGATTTGATTTGATTTTTATTTTTTTTTTGCTTAAAAAACTATTTGCCAGATTAGTCTTTCTTGAATTCATCATTTTGCCTTTCTTGAATTCATCATTTTGCCAAATTGATTTTTCTGAAAGGCAAGTTGAAACTACTATTTTGCCAGATTGATTTTACTTAAATGCTTGAAATTATCAATTTGCCATTTTGATTGTACTGAAAGTGAAGCTTAAAGTATTAACAAATACTATTGGATCCATTCCTGGAAGCAAACAGTACTGAGAAATGGGGATTAATGTTGCATGCTCATTAGGAAACAAGGGCTTGCCTCTCATAGGACTAGCAATCCTTAGATTACTAGTCTGATGTGTTACCCACAGGGCCATGCTATTTTTTAATTACAGTTTTGAATAATAAATTTGTCGGATTGGTCTTAATTGACAGCCTTGAAATAATTAATATGCACAATTGTCTTTATCATATCAATTTTTTCTTTAATTCTTCAGTGTTACCAACAGCTACATAAAATTTCACAAAGTCTGTAATTGACAAAGAAAATCTGGTCTAGGTATCCTGTGAAAATCGAACTTAAATACCAACCATTTTCTGAGAGTATCCGTAAACATTTCACTTCTCCGTTGAAAGCTGCAAGGTGAGCTGGTGTTTGGCCATCTCTGTCTTTGACATTGACTTTATCTGTGTACTTTAGGAGAAGGCTCAGACACTCGTGGTGACCGCCAACACACACCTCGTGTAATGTTGTTCTGCCATTTGACATACGTGACAAAGGATCTGCTCCGGACTAAAAAAAAATAATATCAAAATATTTAAAATACAATGTAGTAGAAATAATAATTCAATACAAATAGTTATAAATATGCAACAAAACATGTGGGGGGGGGGGGAGTTAAACAATTCATTGGTATTTAACTTAAGTTTAAAAACTGATATACAGTATGTGTCATTTCTAAACAGCCAAATTGTACGAATAAACTTTTAAAAAGAAAAAAGGTCAACCAAACATATTCAGCAAAGAGTATTAGATAACCTGCTTCATTTGTGGAATGGATTTATTATGCCTTGAATTTTGAAGAGTGGCCATTCAAAGTTAAAGAGATTTTTTATCAAAATAAAAAATTTGAGATTCAAACAATATAGACTTATAGACTAAAATGATGTGCAGACAGGCCTGGCTATGTACTGGTGACACAGGTTTATCCCCTTTGGCTCCAGGTAGGTTAATGGTTAAAAAAAAAATGGATGTATGTATTTGACAAATTTCTATACCTGAAGAAATTCTTCAACCACAGGAATCTGACCGTAAGTACAGCCTATCAGTAATGGGGATTTACCAAGCCCTTCTCTTTTTATCTTCATATCTGAGACGGTCACTTTCTCTAGAATCTCTTTGACTTTATCCACATCCCCTTTCTCTGTTGCTTCCCCAAGCTCATTTTTTAATCCTGTAGATATTATGAATTGCTATATTGTTTAAAAGCACAACCAAATACATGTGTTATACAGAATTAATTTTAGTTTTATTGAGTAGGAAGCTATAACTAAGCTTCAAAACACTCTCAAATCTGTTAATGGAACCAAACAGTACTGAGCTGCGAATTAATGACTGAATTCGAAGTTTCTTACTCAAGGATTCACAATGGCTTGCCCCTAGTGAATATGGGGTTTGAACCCACATGTTTTATGAACATAAGCTTAAACGTTGGTTATAATAATTGAAGTTATAAGTACATCAGCTACAATTTTGTCTAAAGGTTATAAGTTTAATCATAGTAATAAATATGATAAGAATAAGTATTCATTTAAACAATGTACAGCTTTTAATTGTCAAAAAACTGTATATAGTGCAGGCAAAGTACTTACTTTTTTCCACAACCCAAAGACTAATCAAATGAGGTGAAAGAAATGATAAAACAATGTGTATTATTTGGGGGGGGGGGGGGGGGGGACTCAGGTCTTGAAATCAAAGCTGGAGTTTAAACCATGTAGATAAGAGGTCAACTAACAATGATAAATAGAGGATATTAAATGGGAATAGCCTCTTAGTATTGAATTCATTAAACAAGTTGAATTATATAATGCGACCCCCTGAAAACCATTTTTCTTTTATTCAACTTTTTCAAAAAATTTAGTATAAAAGCCTCTTACACTTATTTGAGGTAGATGATTTACTTTAAAATATAATTAAGTAATAATATATAGTAATATATATAGTAATATATTAAAGACAAATACATGCAGTGTGACATTTATGGAGGTATTAAATTTCTCCTTTAAATCTACAAAACCATCATGAAAAGACTTAATTAGCATCCCATATTATGGTGCTAAGCTGTTATATGCTAACCAGCTGGCAGGATAATGACTCTGCCCATACTCTCAATTGCAGTATTTTATATAAGATATATATAATCTCACTACCATCTAACCCAACATTCTAAATGTGTTTAATGTAAACAATGAAATAGATTTATCCTGAAATTAGGGAAAGCAGATTGGCTAATTAACCTTGTATCATTCATTTTGTATTAGCCAGGGTGACTGTGGTGAGTGGTGTAATAGGGAAACTGCAAAGCCTCATGCAGAAGCAGCCGATACTTGGACTTAGGGTTATGGGTTCTAAACACACTTAAACATAATTAAAGTTTTGATTAAGGTTTCGTTTTTCTGCTTCCATTAGCTCTAAGTTTGTAGCAAACTAAGAAATGAAACAATCTTGTATATTCTAGGTCTTTGTGGCTGCCCTGCTGATCAGTCAGACTCAATCAGGCATAATTAAGCTCCATGGTTCCTTACTCCACACTAATATAATAACAATATTACAAATTTCCTAAACCAGTTAAAACAATTATGTGCAACCTTCTCCAGCCACCTCATGTGTACAAGTGCTCAGTTTATACAAAATTTTTGTGGAAAGAAAAATTATAAAAGTACAAAATGTGGATTGGATGTGTGCTTGGTGTTAAAAAAATCATTTAGTGAAGATGAAATCAGTTTGTAAAGACTAACTACTAACTTTCACCAGTTTCTTAATTTCAATACTTCTTTAATTTATGACACAAGTATATATTATTAAAGAATATTTTTTTATCTTGAGTCATACTTATACTATAGTGATTTCAAGAAAGTGAATATGTGTGAGCATAAATACCTTCATCAGCTGTGAAAATAACATCAACATAATTAGGTGGTACTACCTAAAGGATAGTATTATTCTGATACTTACAAGTTGAATTTGACAATAAGCCTTAAATGTCTAAAAATTAAAACATAAATGGCACTATATTTCCTTCTTTGCAATGAATTCAACTTTTTAAATAATTTTAAAAATTATTATTTAATGATGGCTACTTTACAGTATAATGTAAATTAATTACTCCAGCTTTCATGTTTCTACTCAATCCACACTGTGTCTTAAAATATATTTGTGATAAAAAAAAATTGCAATCAAACTTGACATGTACACCATTTAATGAACATGTTTCTTTTTATAAACATGCAAAAGTTGTTGCAAACAACATATGAAAACAGGTTATCACAAGTCATTGTTGGTGACATCAGGATATCAAAGGCAAAACAGTTTTGAAATAAGTGTTATATTGGGTTTTGACAATGCATTTAATTTAAGTCTCAATTATGCTATTCTTTTTAGAAGCATATTTGAATATATATATATTTTTTGTTTAAATTATCTTTTATCATATAAAAATATACTGGCACCTATCTTCATACTTTAGATAGAATCTAGTCCTACAATGTGTACATGTACATGTAGTTTAGCAGACCCTGGACAGGGGTGTGGAATTCCTATGTCCGACTTGTCCGACTCGGGCCTTTTTGCCAGCGGACAAGTCGATTTTTTCATTGGACTTGTCGGCGGGCAAGTGAATTTCAGAGCCATTTAAAAAAAAATTAAAAGCCAAATTTTGGTCACAGATTACTCTATATCATTTTATTTCATTCCAATATTGCATATCACCTTTACAAACTAGTTTAATTATATAACCCATTTTGTTTTCTTTTTACCCCCTATGAAGCCTCTCAATAGACGTATGTGCTATAGGAACTCATTGGTTGTATTGCGGCAAAAAATATAAAGCACAGATGATTTCATTGCAAAGTTTATTTCTTTGCATACAAAAAAAAACTTAAACAAATTCTTTATTAGAATGAATAGTTCAAAGCCTGTAGAAACTCCCAAAGAGTCAAAAAACGAAGTCAGAGAGAGATACTAGAAATTAGTATGATTCGAAAGGAATACATTTATTTCAGGATAGCTAGTTTATTGTCTGGCTGCCAAAAGAAGGTAATTCAGACAATGTCTATGGTCAAACTTGCAGATAATTTTCAGTTAGTAAAATATAGCTGCTGAACTTACATAATCCGCACTGTTTTGGGGGGGGCAAGTAAATTTGGGCTGCGGACAACTAGAAATTTCAATCCAACTTGTCCTCGGACAAGTGGAAAAATTCCAAAATTCCACACCCCTGCTGGATTAATCAAATGTTCATGTGTTTCTGTTACTTATATGCCATTATTCTGTTACTAGCTATTATTTTAAATTTTGCTGTAGCTTTAGAAATGAATATGTCAAATAAACTGAGGATATTGGGGCTGGGGACCACTGCCCCCAATAACTTGAATAAGCATTCAGTGCTATAATTATCATCTTCCTGGGTCTGCAAACTAGATGTGTCCCATGATTTCTTTAGCTATGTCATGAACTTATTTACATACATAGAAACTTATAGAACAGCATAAAACAAAATGATATCGATAAAACTGTAAACAAATCTAATCAGCAAGTTAAGCAGGCCAATTTACATTGTAATTCTACATTATTGTTGTTTCTGAACTAAAAATGACATTCGTAAACGATTAAAAAAAATGAAATTTTCTCTTTCTAACTAAATATTTAGGATACAAAATGACTTAGACAAACATTTAATTCAATAGCTGTTATGATATTTACATAGTCATACATGACAATCAAACAAAAACAAACATTCTTACGTTCTCTTTCAGATTTCTTGCTGCTGGTCGTGCTTGCGGACGCCATATTGTTTATAATTCCTAGGGAGAACGATTTACGGTTGTTGTTAACGTCATCAAAATTAAATAGGAACTATAAACTATGGAAACCCATAATTTTCTATAAAATATTACACTAAGAGGCAATTGAAAGAATGAAATATGTAAACTGATTGTATTTCTTTTTTCATTAAGTCGTAATAAAATGAACGTAATCCGTGCTGAATATTGCCGTACTCTTACCGGATAAATGATGTCGCTATCAAAGGATCAACAAGTCAGTTAACTAGTCAGTTGACTGACTTTGCAGTTATGTAATCAAAAAACCAACAAGACTTTATACATAGTCATTCATCATAGTATTTGGGTGAAAATGAAACACAAATTTACACAGAGAATTTGAGGAAATATTAGTACAATTACACAAAACGATGAAAGACATTACACACCAATTTCAAAAGTCTCCACGGCTATCTTTTTGAATTTTGATTAAGACAACATTAATTTTTAAGTATATTTATTGTATTTTCAGAATCTGATAAGACAGAGATACTTGTGCATAATGTTGTTGGGATTTTTTATATATAAAAAGCTCGATCAATAGCAAATCAAAATATGATTACATTGTTTTTATTTATAATTTACTATAATTTTAGACAAATCAACCAATTTGTTCTTTAATTATAATACTAGAGTATAAATATAATAAAACCATTATAGTAATACTAAATTTTTTTTTTGTTTTGTGACGATAGATCGATGATATATCCGCAGGATCTATGGGACAAATTTTATGATCGTGAATTTAGGACTACATGTATCTACCTTTTATATCTCCTAGAGAAATTCGGTGAAATAGACATATACAACAGATTTCGGAGTACGTGTAATAAATGTTTCTATGTTTAAATGTTAATATATATTTAAAGTTTTATTTGTATATTTGTCATCTAGCTTTAATTATAAGTTTCATTTGTATTTTCACTTTAAATCATTTGTATGTTGTGTTTAACTTTAAATGTTTTAACGTATGCCATTACCTAAAAGATTTTTATCAAAAGTTTCTGGAAATAAACAAAAAAAAATTAGTACAAGCTTTATTGTTGAAATATTTATCTAGAAAAAAGGAACGATGGGTGAAGTGTCTTAATTGCCGATTATTGTGGGGAAATTTAGTGTCCCGACGACGCAAACTTTATTAAAACATTTTCTGCAAATGAATAACTCGTGGAAACTTTTTATTGTGCATATTGCAAGTGAATCTAGCTTGTTCACACACCCACAAAGAACGTGCATGTATATATTTCATATCCTGCGATCATCAACTTAGTAAGAAAATATACGTACTGTACGTAGTATCTTAACAATATTTTTTATATCGTATTTCAAAATGCCCTGGAAAAGATTTGTACTCTATGAACTGCTATGCCAGTTTGCAGATCATCTTCGGATGTTTCAAAATTTCAAATTTCACTATTGTCATATATAAATATTGGATATCTTACTTAAGCCGCTGGTGGGCGTGAGTAGTACTGGCGTGCACGGTGCATTGTAGCTTGCATGTAGCACAATCGTCCATATACATATATATTATACAGTGTTCAGTCTGAAATCTCGCCACGGCTTCAGTTACAATTCAAATAAAACGGTGACATGTAATTTCTAAAATAAAAGTCTCTGGCCGTGATCACACCAAACCAGCACAAAGTTTTCAATTTTGTTGTGCTGGGCATCCTTTAGTATTTTTTTTCTGTTTAAAAAAGCACGTGTACACGAGCCTATACATTCCGTGTAAGAAAAGAGCATGCATGCATTCAAAGCCTGCAAAATCAAATGCATGTGTTTGCTATGGATTAATAACCCTTTAATATAATTTTATGCTATTCCATTTTAATCAAATACTTTATCTGCTGAAAGTTACTTACATAATAATTATATGACGTCTAAGATTTAAAACTGTTTGTATATCCAGCTGCTGAACTGTAAATATGATTGTTATTAAAATACGTTGAATGTATGCATAGAATCTATAGTGGCTAATGCATGACACTATTAATTATTCCTTCAGTGACATTATATGACTATGTTCATCCAAAGGTACATGTACATTGTGAGTGCATGAACAAGTGAATGTCAAAATAAACTTTCATTTTGCAATATTTCCATTCAATTTTATATATTTTACTACGCATGAACGTTAAAATAAGTAGAATGGCCTATCGAAATGTTTGCAAACATCCATTGAAATTAACCAGTAAAGTTCAATTATAAAAAAAGAATAGGAAAGTCTTTTAATGTTTGAGGCACAGTTATATTTTATCCTAAATTAATATTTACCTATCTCGCATGTTGGTCACCATTATAACAGTCAATCTATTGAACTATATACAGTCAATGCAGCCAAACTTGACAATGAATAAATGACATGCATGTATATGATGTCACCTAGCTTATTTACTTATTTAAGGAAAACATTAAGTTGAAAACAAGAGTAAGTCAACGACTTCTGATGTCTAAATCTTAGATCTAGTTGTATAAGTAATAGATATACCATTGGTGCGTTGACGATTTCTGGGTTTGCGTAAATTATACCATAATCACGTGACCTTTCTTATGCCTTAACCTCACGAGACGAAGTCGAGTGAGGTTGCATAGAAAGGTCACGTGATTATGGTATAATTTACGCAAACCCAGAAATCGTCAACGCACCAATGGTGTATCTGTTTTAACCTATAGCTCCGCCCAGAAACACTTACTCCTTCGATCTTCAAAACTGAAAATTATACCATAGTCTGGGTATGGTATAATTTACGGTTATTGGAAATTATACTTGGAAGAATTTTACATAAGAAGCGCTGAAGAGCTATAGGTTAAGAAAAATTTATTTAGCGAATTCCCGATTTCAAACAAACATTAAGATCTCATTTGCAAACAAATCTATAACTTTGAAATTGATTGTAAATATTAATCGCAAATTATTCCAATATTTCTGTCGGAACGAGCAGAAATCTATTTACTTAAAATCTAATACTAGTTATTGTGCAATGACTTATCTATGCCAGACTTTTACCATGCTTAGTAACTCTATATTTGTATTAGCCTCTCTCAATTCATATATGTTTTTTTGTATTGGATTATTCTTTATTATCACACACCCGTGCCGATTTTGCGACTCCGTAAAAATGGTATTGCACGGCCGTGCATATATTTTGACGTGACGTCATTAGCGTTATACAAACATAGTGTAAAGACGCGCTGAATGTTAGCGTTATACTATAGGCGCGTCAATGAAAATGACTCTTATTTCACTTTAAACGGTCTTTATTTTGGGTATGTGATAAATAGAATATTAAATTCGTGTAAGTTCATTACTTTAGTATTAATTAACATACATGTATACACAAACAATTGACTTTGCAAAACATTTGTTAGAACAGTTTCTAGAAACGGAAATGTCAATTTAGATGCGTACAGACGTTAATTTAAATGATGGCCATCGACCGAGGCCTACAAGGGTCAAGTTCACTCAAGGTCGTCAGCTGTAGAGTTACACCTGATACCGTATACCGGGAGAAGTTCTGATTGACGTGTCAAACGTGGATGTAAACAACACAAAACTCACGTTGATCTTCGATTTAATTTTACGAGTTTTGTGAATTAAAAGTTTAAGTCAAAGTGGATTTATTTCATAAATTTAAAAAACAAAATAGAATATAATCAATTTAACATATTTTTAACGGTAAATCCCCGATTCACGTTTCAAGTTTTTTGTTTGTTGGGCCGGTTACTTGTGAACACAAGAGTGAATAAATTTTTGATGTGCAAATTGCATAATATATAATTTGCATTGAATTGCATTAATGTCATGCCCTCCAGCTTATAACTAAGATGAGCGATTAAACTTTGGAATATAAAATCTCGACGTGGGGTGGTTCATTTTCAATAAATATTATTAGGGCAGAGTATCAAATTGACACAGGTCTCAACTTACCAAGTCACAAGTGAAACATGCATGGAACTATTACAGCTAGATCTATTTTGTTTTTAGTATTTTGTTGTGTTATCCGTGGAACTTTTGGTCAGACCTATAACTATAATGAAATAAGGGAGACTTTTAAAAATGACTTACTTGACCAACTAGGAGATGGAGCAGAGATAACTTTTCAAACACTGGAGGACCACTTTAAAACTCACACATATACTTCAACATCGAAAAGTTTGATTTCAGAATGTCTTGTGGACAATTCTACTTCACCAGTTTCTTTAAACAAAACATGTTTACTTCAAAAGGTAATGTTATTGTTTATTTCCATAATTATATTTGAAAGAACTATATAATAAATTAAATAATGTTGAAAATTTGAAAGGTATAATTTGATGTTTATATCCATATTATGTATTGTATGAAAGAATTAAATAATGCTAAATTTACTAAAACTTATTAGAAATGTGTATATATTATATACTGTATGTCATCACTTTAGTGCAATAATGGGTTAACTGACATTAAATTATATTTTACTGTTAATACACAAAAGTGATGCTATATCATATATATATACTCTATTATAAAAACACCCTTTGTGTTGTTACATTTTTAATAAGGAATTTTGTAAAAATTAAAATGAATTTACAATGATTTCGATAACATATTCCAATTCTTTAATTCATATCAACAGTTAGATCTATGTGATGAGACTTCAACTTCCTAAGTTCCTTATTCCATTATTTATTTTTACTCAAATAATGAAATATCTCAAAAGCATAAATATTTATATTATTTAAGGTTTCAGTTGAATAAATTTTTGCCCAAGTGTCACAATGTTAAAACTGTTTACTTTTTACTAGGGGATATTATGTGTAAGCAGTCAGATTCATTGCTCACTCAGTCAGTCAGTAGAGGCATAGAATTAATTCCTGCAGGGCATCCATTAGTATAAGTTTGGGAGTCAGTTAATCCTTATTTTTGCTTGTGACTTCTAAAATATAATCAGTATAATGCTTTCCTTTTTCACCTATAATAATGTGACTTCAAATGTCAGACATTTTCAATCTCTGATTTCCAAATTTTGGAACTTGATGGAAGCCATCTTCCTAGGGCCCTAGGTCTAAGCCCTGGTGGCAGGCTGCACATTTTTCGTACCCAGTATCACAAAAATTGAAGAAGTCAGATTCATGAGCATACATGTATATTTATTCACTGGTCTGGGAGTGGAAATACATGTATATTGCCACCTTAGTGCAGTAATGGAATAAGTTCTTCTAAATTTAATGGGAGTTAATCAGTTATTGCACTAAGGTGACGAATAGGTAGATATTAACTATAAAATAAACTGAAGTATAAATATATGCTTGAATGATTGACCAGGTAGTTATTGCATTTCAGTTTAACTTACAATAATATCCTTCCCTGGAAATTATGATACAATGTACTCATATTATAAAAATAATTATGTTCTTTTTAATTTAATAACAGTGATTTTTTTCCTTCTTTGTTTTTGTCCATTAATCAGACCTTTCCCAATCCAGAATACAGACACTTTTGCCCAATTCCAAACCAAAACATTCCCAAAAATTACATATATTTAAAATTAAATAATTAATTATTAGCTTAGGATATTGTATTCATAATGGCCAAGTAAAACTATTGATGACCATTTTGTAGGAATTGTTAATGTTACTTGCTGATGCTGCCACTCCTAACAAGCGCCATTCAAACATTTTTACCAACCACTTGATCTACATAATTATATAATGTTAAGATAAATAAAACATTTACAAATATGATATTATGTTAACTTATAAAATAAATCGCATTTTAGCATTACACCAGCAGTTTTTCCCACAAAGACTATACCCTGATCCTTTCCTAAAATTCCAAGAAAAAAATCACTCGATAATGATTTAATTCTTTAAATACAATAGTTTCACTGCACAAGCATCTAAGGATATTAATTATTATATAATATTATTGTATATTCACTTATTACAGGATGAAGTGTAGGCCTACCACAAATGAAGTGGAAAACAAAATAATTATGTTATAAGGATGTTATTTGAATATACAATGTCATGTACATACAGTTTGTTCACTGGTTTTCACTAAACATTGAGTTCAAGAATTATATTCAAATCTTCCACCACAACAAGTTACAACACCCAATGGGAAAACTGAAAGTTAGAAATCCATAAATTGTATATTTTAATGATGAATTAAATACTAAGAAATTCATGTCAAAACTTAATGATTAAATAAACTTTATTATATGAAAGTAAGGCAAGTAATATTTTAAAAATTTTTGAGTGTTTTGATGTTATTAATGATAAAATTTAATGAATAACTTAATACTTATTTGAATAAAATCATTTAAAACATAGATGTATATCATTAAAATATCACAAATAAAAAAAATGAACTTAACTGACCATTTCATAATAAAAACTGACTATATAACATTCGATGGCTGATCAAGTGGTCAAGCATGGGAACTCGTACTCTGTTGTGGAATGGAAGCGTCCCTCGGATGGTCTTGTTCAGCTATTGTAAACTTGACGGTATGTCAGTTGGGCAAGAGTCTGATCACTAACTGGCTTGCATCCAATACAGGTCATATAGTACATGTATGTATATTATAATTAGTAGGATTATGTATATTATTAGTTATAAAGATTTTTGATGGGTTATATGGCCCTATATAAATGGTTGTTTGTGAGCGGCTGTGGTTATATTGCAAACGACCATTTATATTACAGTCATACATTGTATAACATGTGAGAAATATTTATAAGGAATTTATGATACATTACAGCAAGCATCTTCTTTTAGAGAAAAAAGTGAGATTTCTTGATATATTGACTGTAGTTGTATACCTATATAAAACTATATAAACATCACAATTATCTAACGAAAAGTGACATCACAAACATACAGTATTACTGTATGAAATATGATAACATGTAAAATGTTTTAAATGATTGCATCCATGAAATCTCCTTTTTTTTCTTTTTCTTTTTTGATTCTTTTGGGAGGGGTTACTAGTTACTGACAAAAAGTACCACCTGTGATTGGGTGTTGTACTTTTTCTCAAAATGGCCAGGAAAGTTAAAAAATAGGCTTAAATCATTATCATCATTTCATTTTATTGAAAACATTATACTCTCTCCAGTATGAGTGTCTAATTTCAGGTTAATGATATTTGGTTTCATTAAATATTTTCCGTTTGGATATTTAATAAGTTAATTCATTGGCAAAACTTTCTAAGGGAAATTATATTTAATATTAGAGAATGAGGAAGATAAATGCATGGTGAGAAATAAAACAGCTGATTACAAACTGTTTATCATTCCTGGACTAACTTAAATGTTATATAACATTCTTGATTGAAAAAAAATGTGGACAAAAATTTAATATAGATCTATCAATTGTATTGAGTGTGGGAACAAATCATGGCTAGATTTTCCAAAAGTTCAACAATTTGCCATTATATAACTTGTTTGAGATAGTTTACCTACGTGAATGCCACTTTCTAATTTAAAGCAGCATGCCTACAGATGAGCCAAGATATTTTAAGAAATTCAAAAATCGAGAAAAATGTACTACATTGTACTTAGATTTTGAAAAAAGGTGAAAAGATTCCAGATTTAAATAATGCTTTACATGTTATGTGTGATAAATGACTGGTTTGGCAGTATTTATCATTACATGTTTATTTCTTCTCAGTGACTAACACAGTAAAACTTGTGCTATTTTTTGCATATTTTGGCATCTTTTAGGTAATTTATGGGATTGTAAGAGCCGTTTGCACTTTGCAGTGTGTAAATTACAAAAATGTACTTTCTTTGTGTCAGTCCTCACAAAATTTTACTTTTAAAATACAATTAAGAAAGTTTCATAAAAAAATTGCATGAATCTGAAGGCATGCTGCTTTAAAAGTTTCTATGCAAAGGATAAATCATTGTTCCTGAGAATAATAGTGGATAATTTATGCTTTTGAAAGAATGCACTTGAATATAGTATAGAATATAGTATAGTCTGTCACTTATTATATATAGACAATTTTCTTTTGACATGGAGGTTTTTGATTGTAGGAAATTTACTTTTGTATGTATTTTAATTTATTAATACTATTTAAATTACTAGTTAAATTTTGTTTACACAATTGATTTTATTTTATTGTTGAATGTTCAATAACTTAAGTATTTATCTCTTCAGACCTTTATAACCAATGTACTGTACATATCAAATGTACGAAAACATATGAGCCGCGTCACGACAAAACCAACATAGTGCGTTTGCGACCAGCATGGATCAAGACCAGCCTACGCATCCGAGCATTCTGATCAGGATCCATGCTGTTCGCTGTCAGTTTCTCCACTTGTAATAGAGTTGGTAAGCGAACAGCATGGATCCTGATCAGACAGCATGGATGCACAGGCAGGTCTGGATCCATGCTGGTCGCAAACCCACTATGTTGGTTTTGTCCTGATGCGGCTCATATTATTATGGGGTATTTGTTATTAATTTTTTGAAGATATATAAATTCATGTATTTCATAATTATTCTATGAAAAGTATGACAGAACCTTGATGTCATTTCTAAGTTTGAACTCTAATAAACAATGAAAGATAGATATTTTTTACTTGCATGAATTTGCATTTTGTCAACATTAAAATAATTGTATGCACATTATATTTAATGATGCCTCAAGGTCAATAATGTGCCTGACATTATTCCTCTTTTTAAACATATTCGAGTAGTCAAGGTCATTATTACACAATATATGCACAGCATGAGAAAAAATGCTTACACATCATCATAATTACATCAAATATTGTGACAGACATAAACAAAATTATTTCTTAGTGTTTGAAATTATTTTTTGTCCAATAGGATTGCAGTATTTCAAATGAATCGTACGTAACACATTTACTTTGATAAACTGTTAATCAGTCTAGTAAATTTACTGTTTATAAAAATAATTAAAAACACTAAGCTTTTTAAAATTTTATTATTAGTATGTATTTACAAATTTGAATTGGTCAAGCGACTGCACCGCGCCTGACCAATTAAATTTTGTAAATACGTACTTAAATAAACTTTAACCTGTACATAAAAGATTATGAACCTAGGTTCTTGTTCATTTTCATGCATTTTTAAATGAAAACTTTTGAAAATCATTTTAATATAATATAGTAAGCACAGCCTCTGAATGGTAGCACTATGTAGAGAGGCACAGGTATTCGGCTTGACTGTCAAAGACCATCATGATCACCCCTCCGGCCTTTCCTCC